AGCCCCTTTAAATCGGTCTCTGTATTTCTGCGCAGGTCAACACTAATGGTGATCATTCACAAGGTTCAGTTACACGAACTTCCTTCCAACGAAAACGGTGATATAAACTACTACGTTACAATCAAAATTCTGCCCCTCAATCACCGCTCGTTCCAGACAAAAGCCGTCAGACAGTGCAAGAGTCCTGAATTTAAGGAGAAGTTTGAATTCCGGGTGGCGTACGAGAAGATGCATGTTCAGAGCTTGAAGATGACGTTATGTTGTTTTGATCGCTTCTCACAACACGAACCCCTTGGCGACCACACCGTGCATCTTGCTGAGCTTGAGGCACGCGGGCTTAGTCTGTCAAGAGAGATTCTGCTGTTCCGTGACATTCACGCAGTTCCAAAGGTATTGTGAAAAATGCAGGTTTTTTATAAGGAATTTTATCGTCCAACCGTCAAACGTGTGTATCACTCTTGTGCCGTCCAGTTAACTTTTGAAGGGGTTAACTTTTGAATGTAGCGGGGTATATGAAACGTTATAGCCTGTACACAGATGTTGTTCTATTTTTCTTTTCGTTCTTTTCGAAAACACCAGCGAGGGCGCGAGAGCGAGCCCGAAGCGCGAGAAAGAAACGCCTATTTTCTTCTTCCCCCATCCCTACCCTCTTGCCCCGGCGGTCAATAAATCCTCCAGGCTTTTTATTTTTTATCACGCGTGCTCGACGGACTTTGAAGAGAAAAAAGAGGGTGTGTGAACAGTCTAGAAACGTTAGGTAAATCATCTGCCATTTGTTGTCAGTGATCTATAAAACAGGCCCAAAAGGGCTAACAGACGCATTTTATGGCGGTGAAAAAGACGAGAAAACTTTCTCGTTTTGCGATTTGATTTCATATTTTAAAGTCAGTACATTTACAACAGTTGAAAGGGATACAAAGTTCTAATTAATACCAGGTTTGTGAAAGGGGTACCCTTACTGCAAAAAGTGGTTTACAAAAGGGTAAGGGGTTGGACCTCGGGGCGGAACCTCCCCTTATAGAGGAGGATTGATGTAAAGGGCTTGCCTAGCGCAGAGAGCAAAGTGATACCTCGGTAATTTTCGACTTTGGATCGATCATCGTTTTTGTGAATAGGTACAATGAGGCAAAAACTCCAAAGAGCAGGGTATTTGCCAGTATTTACGATTCGATTAGATAAATTTACTAAATAAAAATAAAGCTTTGTTGAAGACCCCCCCCCCCAAACCCCTCCAACCGGGCCTTCGTGCATTTACTATCGTCCCATGTTTGTTTGCCGGATATTTTTTCTGAGATCATTCAGCGTCCTCTTCAAAAGTTGGAAATGAGGGAGGTGCATATAAAAAGAGATATTAACCCCAAATATTAGTATATTAGTATATTAGTGCCCCTACACTTCTAAAAAGAAAAGACATCACTGATCATTACATTTTCACACAAATGTGTTCATGTGTATTAATGTGGTACCGTTTTATAAAACAATGGTCTCATTAGAATGAAATTAATCAAATAACTCGATAGGGCCTAGAGTGTCTTGGTATAACTATGAGCCGCACATTTCCCTAAGAAATCTATTTTGAGGCATCTTTTAATTTTATTTTTTAGGCTTCCGGTGTTCTCGGAGAACTCATGATCTCCCTAGGATATCTCAGACTTACAGAGCGACTGACAATAGTAATAATAAGGGCAAGAAATCTTCCGCAAGCTGAAGAAGCAGAACTGGATCCAGGCAAGTGAATGATTTTATTGCTGTAGAAATAGCCAACAGTCAAGTCTGGTTAGCAAGTGTCTGCTTGACAAAGAACTTGTAAGAAAAGAATAAAACAAGGTTACGGCCAGACAGTTAGGAAGATAATTAACAATTATTGGACGAGGTTGAGATAAATGAGTTCAATAATTGTTTTATCGTTCGATCACCGCGTTTGTTGTTTAATTAATATCTTCGGGAAGCGAAGCGATCTGCCATTTTTACACAACAGCGATCGCAAGAAGGAGAAAAGCGTGGTTTCATTTACGCATGAGCAGAATATTGTTTGCAGCCAAGCACAGTTGGACAACATTGCCCATAAGCAGACCATTATTTGTAGGTAGTTGTTTACAGGTCACGTGATGGGCTTTCGGCCAATGAAAAGGAAAATAAATTTTGCCTCCAATGATAATAATATCTATTTTCTTACGTTTTGTAAAACAATTTGAAACACTCATTCTTCACCTTAATTTGCCTTGTTTGATTAAAAATATTGCAGGAATCATTATTATTTTTAACGCTAACTGGCTCTGCATAATTTCTTTCCTAGCTGCATACGTTGAAGTGTCCCTCATTCATGAAAGTAGAGTACTAAAGCAAAAGAAAACTCTTACAAAGGACCCAAGTGGCAACCCAGTCTTTAACGAAACCCTGACTTTTCACATACCAGTAGGAATTCTCCATCAAACAAGTCTTTTAGTGGCCGTGAAAAACGAAAACGCTCAGAGGACTGAGGACCAGTTACTCGGGAGGATATTTCTGGGGCCAACGGCCACTGGGAACCAATTTGAACATTGGAACGAGATGCGAATCAACAATAAGCCAGTAGCGCGCTGGCATAAACTGCTTGATTGACATTTGATTGTTGCGCGCTGGCGCTCGACGATAATAGTGTCTTTTCATGCGTAGTTTTGTAACCATAGCTTGCCCAGCTCGGCGCTCGTCTCTCGCGCTATGCCTTCCGTTTTTCACTCGGTTAAAGAGCGCAAGATAGTGTAGCCGATAGTTTAGCTATCAAAGTTAGGTAGAGCACTAGTGAAATGAAGTCTATTTAATTTCTATGGGGAAAATAAGGCAAAATAAGTTAGCACAATAAACGTTTGTACCAGTTTCATCATAGGGTGCATAGGGTGGATGATAGCAGCTCCCCAGACCAAAAAAAATAGTGTAGTTTCCGTGCGCTAGAGAAGCAGTTTAAAACAATTTTGGCTATAACACTTTGAGCTCAGGATAGAATTAACGTCCTTATTTTGAGGAGATGTTAGCCTCAAAAAAGGTAATTAAAATGTTCTCAAATTACACGTGTAAAATTAGGAGTTGGCAAGCCTGTACAACTTTTACCTCATACCCTAACAGGAAGCCAAGGAAGCTTCAGGGACAACTGTACATGCTTTAATGTTTAGTCATCCATTAACTGTTGTTTTCCAATCACCAGTAATTCTTCTAGATTTCCCACTTGAAACACATTGAATAGAACGTTATTGGCTAAACTTCAAGCCTGAGCTGTGTTATTAGGATGTTCTTTAGCTTTTTAAGATTGTAAACAAAGGTTTCTATGACAAAAATAGTGTAAAATTGTTCATCTTGATGAAGAGCGTCCTACGGAGTTTTAAAGTTAGTCCCCAATGCGGGCCTACGAAAGTTGACGGTTAAGATTAACAGTTTCAAACACAATCAACTACACTATACATGTACTTGCTATCTTAGAAAACCAGCCAGTATCCTTGTCGCTTCCACTAAGATGCTTGGATTAAAACCAAAAGTTCGTAGTGTTTTGAAAACGGAAATGTACGTAAAAACATCGCGCACAGCTGAAATAACTGCAGCTCCCCATTGTTATTGGGTCCACCGAGGGAAAATGTTTCTCTAGGTCAAGACAGAGGACGTAAATTAAATCATGGTACGGAAGGATTGAAATTTAATTAGCCTGAATAAAACATTGGCAGTCCTCTCACCCCTAGCCTGCGAAGCAGGCGCTTGAATTTATTTGTGGGCAAGAAAGAACGGGCGCGCGAGAGGCAGACACGCGAGGGGAGAGGGAGCGCCCTCTCCCCTCTCGTGTCTCCCTCGCGCGCTCGATTCTTTCCTGCGCCCATTACCTCCAAGCGCCTGCTCGCCCAATGTAAGGGAGTTCAAGATATTCTTGGATTCTGGACTCCAAAACCAAATTATGCACCGAAGCACACGTACCAATTCTGAGGTATGTCAGTAAGTGTGACCGTGCTGGCCATACCATGTTGATGAGATTTAACAAGGACAAAACAGCTATCCATGACTGCTACTTCCTGGGTGCTATAGTTACGCGCATGCGTAAGGTACTGACCATACCGCGGAGTTAGTTAGTACTTGTGCTTCCGTGCATATTTTAGTATTATTACACTAAGTCACTACGACCAAACTACGAACTTCCGCATGAGTTCAGAATGAGAGAGTGAGGAAGAAACGAATGCTGAGGTTTATACCCTGGGAACCAGAGATCTTTTTCTCGCGTGCGGGTTAGTGTACAATGCTCAGCCATTTTGCGTTTCCTTATTTCGTCGATCCTGGCTTAAAAATAGCCTACAATCAAGTTCTTCCTTTAGGAGATATTGAAGAAGTCAAACTCAAGCGGCGCGCATAAGGCGGAAACGCGAGAGTGACTGAGTGACGGGTGAGGAAAGGGCTTTCCTTCGCTGTCTGCCGCTTGCTATTCGAATTAAGAGAATACTCACAGGCTCACTTTGACTTTACAGTTGGTGAAAACATTGTCTTTATATCATCCATGGTGAAAATATGGCTCAATTAATAGTTTTTTGACAATTTCAAGGAAATTCCTACTCCTGTTGTTGTTTTTTTTTAGTGCTTAGACATATATGCCAAGCCAAAGCAAGCTATATCCCACGCAAACGTAGGACGGTTGAAAGGAAAAATGAAACAAAACTGAATGCAAGCTGGCACTACGGCAATAGGCTAACAAAATTAGCCTTCCTCAGGGCCAGAGCTATACCGAGAGAAAAAGAAAGAGGTCCTATCACCCTCTCATTCGATCTCTTGATTTGGATCTAGCGGCTAAGGTCAAAGTGAAAATATGAAAGATCGTGAATTATTGGTCATTATTGTCACGTTATTCTTGTAAGTGTTTCAGTCCTATTTTCACTGTAAATACTATGACATTAATGCTGGTAACAGTCTTGTTTCCAGTAGCCCGAGTGTCCGGCTTTCCTTTCGTGTTATGGAAGAGGAGATTTTACAGGACGAAGCAGGGAGGGGGTGGAGAGGAAAGGTCTTGCAAAATAAAAACAAATCAAAGTCAAGTGCACCTGAAAGGGAAGTAAAAACGTGCGAGATTAATAATGTGTTTTTGTAGCGTCATATTTCAAACTTCCCACCTCGCTGAAATCCTAAACAGACGCGGCGTCTCGGATTTCATAGGCAAATCGAGAAGATACGTTCGAGCATTTGTGTCCTGTAATATTTTCCGTTCTGCTCGCCAACGTCAAGGAATGAGCAGTTTGATTTACCACTAGTCGACCAGGATAAAATTGGTTTGGATCGGATGAGTGTGCAAGGAAAGGTACGTTTGCAAAATTCCCAAATACTGTGGTTCATTCATCACAATTCCGAAACCGACGGAGCAAAAATATATTATGCTGTTTTCGCTTTCTTACCTGTAAAGCAGCACGGTATTATCCTTTGCTTCTATTAAGTGTTTTTCGGTTTAAGTTTAGTGTTGTGAATGGGTAGACAATAGCGACTTGCGATTTGAAGGACCGCAATGACATCCAATTTTGCTAGTCTAGTGATGTGCTAATTTATAATTTATCGAGAAGATCGAAGCCACTGCAAAATATGCTCGGGCTAAGTGTTTTTATTGACTTATAAGCAAATCAAGACCTAACCATGCCGTAGTATTGCGGTTCATGTTCACCACTGTTAAAGGCAGGCATTATAGATGAAAATTAAGTGTTTTGAAACTCCTTATTTCCACGTCTTTTTCACGATCTGACGTAAGGAATCCTTGGATCAAGATGTGACGTTCGCGAAGGGTAAATCATAAAACCACTCGTCAGGTTATTAATTATTTGAGCTGACGCACAGATGCTAGTAAGAAGGGTTAAGGTTTTAATTTGCCTCGTTTTTCTCACCATCTCTGATACGCAGGCCTTTCGTTGAGAAACGTTTATGTCGACTACTGTTGTCCAATTTTTCAACAGTTCGTCCGAAAGTGCGCGCTTTTTTTAGTTAGCCTAACTGACGTAATGTAGAAGTTAGGAACGCAGCGCCTCTTACCGATGTTTCAAAACGTGCTCGCAGAAACAACCACATTTTCTGACTAGCTTCTCTTGAATAAGTTTTAAAGAAAAAAATTCGGAAATATTGGTTTTTAAATCAAAACGTACCCAAGTTAAAGGTTATGAGTCGAGAGTAATTGTTTTGTGTTTTTCTTTCCTCTGAATCCCGGATAAGGCGCAGAAGGACTAAGAAGATTATCAAAATTTTTTTCTGATATTTCAAAAAATAGTATAGAAATAAATAAGGTATTTTCCAGGGTTAGTTAATGACAAGCAAGAGAATGAACGTTTTTGGTTTCACCAGTGGAACATTTTAAATATTCTTGTTTTCAGTAGTGGAATTTTGGCTTCATTTGTCAAATTCGCCGCCTGTTATACCATTCCTTTGATAAATCTACGTGGCGTTTTCACCTCAATTTTTGTTTTTCTTGGCACTTTGACCCTTTTTATACCCGTCAGAGTCAAATTGAAGATATATTACGTTTTTCTAAATGTAAAGTCTTTAGATGTAATCCTATGATGATGTGATGTGACCATTCAGATGAAAGAACAGCTCTTTTCTGTGGTGCTATCCATTCGCGACGGGGGGGGGGGGGGGGGGGGGGGTTGTAACCAAAAATTGGGGGTAGGTGGAGGCGCGGGCCCTGTTTGGAAACAAAAAATCTTAAATAAAATAACCTGCCCCAATGAAGTAGATTTTTATAGTTGTTATATAGTAAAGTAGTGATTGTGGATGTGGACGTTGTGTATTGGTATGTGGTACGTAGAGGGGGGGTACTGTGGTTGTGTGGGGGGGGGGGGGGGGGGGGGGGGGGGGGGGGGGTGGTGGTGGGCGGTTCTAAACCAATATTTGGGTATAGGTAAGCCGCTGACCCTGTTTAGGAAACAAAAACTCTTAAAATACATACCCTCACCCTCAATTTTATTACCCTGTTTATAATTAGGACAGACTCGCACAAACGTATAAACAGTTGAACCTTCATGTGCGACCACCTCTTGTAAGCGACCAAAACACCACAATTTTCCCAGTCAAAGCCTTACTGTTGAAAGCTCTAGTAAACGACCACCTACTGTAAGCGACCGCGACCACTTTTTGGACCTGACGGTTAATGATTTTCCATTGATTTTAACCTCTTGTAAGCGACCACTTGATGCATTCTCTGATCTCTATGCTCGCTATGTACACTATGCCACTTAGGGAATACGAAGAACTTTAGTGACAACATGGAACTGCACATGTCGTAGCTTAGACATTGCAGACAGTAAATCAGACCATATAAGGGTTTCCGCCCCGGTTTTCATTATCTTGTTCATGATTGGCTCTGTTGATGGAATCTAAAAGTATGGCCATTCAATTTAAGTTCTTTGAGTGGTTCTTTTCTAAGGTTCTGATTATTCAGATGCTGTACACGACATTGTAAAGTGTGACCATCCAACTAAAAGCTTCCGAGTAGTATTTGTTGTGGTACTGTTTATTAGGATGTATAGGCAAGTTCTAGTTTTTGCCTCTGTTGGTGTATCCCTAAAGTGTGACCAGGGGCCTTTTTCTCGAACGTCCCGATAATTAACGAGCCCGGGAAGGTT